GTTTTAATATAAAAATGATTTCTATGAATCTACTATACCTAGGATTTTATATTTTTATTTACAATATAAAAATGCTATAAATGATAAATTTAATATTTTTATAAATAGAGTAGAGAATGGATGAGGAGGATAACTAATTCAATTTTTTGAAACCAAAGGACAAAACAATAAATGTTCTTAATAAATTCCCCTCTTTAAAAAAGTTGCTTATTAAAGTATAATACCGCAATCCCCTCATCTGCCCCTGTAGAATGTGTTTTAATATAGCTAATGCCATATTAACTGCCAAGCGTTCCTGTATAAGATGAAAATTTTGAAAAACAATTGTTATTAAAAATTAGTAAGAAAATTTTTTTATAAATAAAATTATCTTTTATATTATATTTTATTGTATTTATTTACAGCAATACATTATTTCCTATTTCATTATAAATTTAATAGATAACCCTCTCTTAATAAATTTACTCTAACCTTAGCTTACCCCCCGGAAGAAAACTGGATGCAATCGTTCTTACACCTCCCCCCTCGGTTAATAAATTTAATTATTTAATTTTACAGGGGGAACTGCGCTTCCATACCGTCCACTTTTATAGGCCTGATAATCACTTTTGCCAGTCTTCCGTTAGGCCCACCTGTAAAATATTCAATCTTTATTTTTTAATATAATAATAACTTTTTTATAGTTATTATGCCAACTTGGATTTATTTTATTAAAAAATTTGTTTACTCATTCTTTATCGTAGAAATAAGCATAACTATATTTTATTTTGGATTCCTTGTTGATAAATTTAATAAAAAATTTCATTTATAACATCAATTTTACTTTAATTTTTTTAATTAAATATTTTCCATTATTCTTAAGATTGTTATAAAAAATGATCGGTTGAGCCCAATGACACTCGATCCCGCTCCAAGTTTTTAATTTAACCCGGGCCCTGTCCGAAATTTTTAATTTATAAACAAAAATTAAAATTATTTCAATGAAATTAAATGAAGTACTAATCACTAATTGCTTTTATCATTATCACAGAAATTCTAATTATCATTATCACAGAAATTCTAATTATCATTATCACAGAAATTCTAATTATCATTTTCCTAAGAGAAAACATTATATTTGAAGAAATTAACATAGATTTGTCTATTTATATTATTAGAATAAGACAGAATTCTCTTTTATTTTATTATTATAAATTGCATTATATTTTTCCTCATTTTAACCAAAAACAATTTTCCTTTTATATCTTTTTTTTTAACAATCAAAAAATAACCAATTATGTAAAATAAATATGTTCGATTAAATTTAAATACAAATTGATATCAAAAAAATGTAATGTTAATATGATATAAAAAAAAATGTTAATATATAATAAAAATTATTTCACCGAAAGGGATAACAAACAAAATCAGATTATTTAACAATTTTAAATTTTTTAGCCCAGATTCGGGTCAACTTGCAGGGTTTTTAAAATTGGTCTCTATTCACTTTGACAGAGTTTTAAACCTGGTAAATTTGTTAGAATTTAAAATTTAAAAATAAAATCCGGCAAAAAAAAATATGGGCCCTGCACATCCCAAAGGTTACAAAATGAGTTTCCAAAATATTTAAAAAGACTAAAAATATATTATTTATGAACTAATTATTATAAAATAGAAAAAATGTACAAATATCAAGGGAATTTTGATATTTTCTATTAATTATATTAATCATTTGTCATATATAAATAAATTTATATATAAATTACTATTACATTCGTGGCAATATTTATGCGAAATTGCATTCGTGATGTTTTGGTGGTAATGCATTCGCGGAAATATTTTTTAGTGGTAATCGACACTCGCGGGAAAAGATTTGCCGTATTGATGTAATACTATATGTTGTATTGAGATATGAAATCCATGGAAATTCAGAATCTCAATTTTAAATCATTTACTAGAGGGTATTTTTAAATGTTTAAAATCTGTTTTGACCGGAAAAGTATTTCATAATGTATAGTGACCACACTGTGAATTTCAGATAATGTTCATATGATTTGAACAAGTCTTCAAGTCTTCATTTTATGGAAAAAGTGGTATGAAATTTATATAGGTATCCTAAACATGCTGGAATACATTTTCATTAATCAAGAATTTTAAAAATCTTCCTCAATAAATGATTTAAAATTGCGAGATTTCGCACCATATCCCAATGACATACATTTAAACCATTGATTTTTTAAAAAAAGGTCTTCAGATTTTTTTAAAGGTTGGATTTTATATAAGCAAAGATCGCCAGCTATAAATAAAATTTCTATTTATGTGATTTCTTTATATTTTTAATTAAATACATGAAAAAGTTACATTTTAAAAGGGTAGTTATGGAATGAATAATAAAATATGTTGAAGAATAGTATAAGTTCAAATTTAATGTCATTTATCTTTTAGCTCATTGAAACAATAAGCATATTTACATATGGTATTACTCTATGTATTTCTGTTATTTAGTTTATACATCTCTCAATTTCCAATTTTATTTTTGGGTCATACAATATTCCTTTATAGAAGTTGCAGGAGTAAGTGATGTTAATAATATGTAGACCTGAGCGCCGACTAAACTATCGGCGGCCGGGGCAATTTTCAAAAAATCCTATCGAAGGCCGGCGGCGCGCCGATTTTTAGCCGCCGTCAACAAATTCGGCGTAAATCGGCACAGTTATAAATTTTTATAACATAAATTTTTTTAATTGCTTATTATTTAAAAAAAATACGGATATACATTACTCTACAGATATCTCGGCATATTTTTTAATATTTATTTAATAGAAAACTCATTATAAATGCAAAATCGATTTCGTAATTTTATAATTATCATGTATAAAAATTATTTTATTTAAATTTTCGGGATAATAATCATCCACTTGAATTTAACGTCAATCCAGCGGTAGAGAAAACTCTTTCACTAGGTGTGCTAATTACCCGAATGCAAAGATTTTTTGGCGAGCCTGGCAAGATTGGGAAGTTTACTCTTCTTCTCTCTCCAAAAATTTAGAACGTCCATATCTTGTGAATATCGTTTTCCAAGAAAACTGTAGCATTCTTTTTCTAAGTCACCTAACTTGGAATCATAATTTATATTTGTTGAATGTTTATTTGCCAATTTTGTCAAATACTTAAATTAAATAATTCATCTTGATCCTCCTATACCAGATTATCATTATTCTCTATAAGTTTAAGATGTTTTATTATAAATTCTGAAGCTGAACAATTTTGCTCTATTAAATACTTTGATACAATTGTCAATTTTTGAAATCTTGGATCTAAAAGAGAAGCCAATACCAAGATAATTTTAATTAAAAAATAAAAGAATATACTTATATATTATTACTTGCAGATTACACACCGAAAATCGTAACGCAAGTTTTTTTAGCATATTTTCTTTAAGTGAAATGATTTCAGAACTATCACTATCATTTACTATTAAATTTGTTTCAATTTCACTTGTAAAAAGTAACGCCAAGTTTAAAGTAGGCCCTTTTTGTAAAGAAATTCGACTGTTTCTTTAAATTTTGAAACTAATCGTTCTTCTACCAGCTCAGATTCATAATTTGAGAAATTCAAAACATTATTAATTAAATTCTTATTTAATCCAAATATGCTTTCTAGCATATACTATGCCAACATGTTGGGACATTTAATTTTAAGGTTTTCATATGTGTAGAATTATTGTTATTATCATTGGAATTGCCAATTTGAAAACGGGTATCTGGGTATAGATCAATGCTGTCAAGATATGTTAAATCTATTGTACGTACTTAGACATTTTTTTGATCTTCCTCGAATTCAAATTCAACCTCTGCAGTTTTATATCTTAGAGCAGTAATAATTTCTATAATTATTTTGCAAAAAATTTTCCAGACTATAGATTTTTTATTATCCAGAGTTAGGATACTAAAATTATTTATAGAATTATTAAATGTAGATGCATCCATTTTAAAAATATGTATAATTATGGTAACTTTTGGAATTTTAGATTGATTGAATTCTATAATGAATTCAATATAATTATGATTTTAAATAAAAATTCATCAAAATCCTTATTGACATTAAAAAAATTACAAGAATGATGCTGACCAATTATTAGAATAAAAAGGCATGAAATGTGAAAGAAATTTCTATTGGCGGCACACCAGCATGATTTTCTTAAACGGCGGCATTTTGGGTGTAACTAAAAAAGGTCAGTGGCCAGCGCACAGGTCTAATTATATGTGAATCATCAGACTATTTTGTTGTGCTCAAAGAATTTAGAAATTTTTGCATAAAAAAAATCTTGTAACAAAGATCTATCATTAGCAAAGCATCTTATATTTTGTATCTTTTTGTTATTATAATAAGATACTTATATCATCATTTTTTATTTTCTAAGGATCTGCCCAACTCTGGTTATTGACTGATACCTATCATAATAGCAAGGACCAAACCATAATTATTATTTACAGAATAAACTCAAGTGTTAAAAGCTATCCAAACCTGGCCTAAAATTGTTTAAACCATATCATAACTCTTTTAGAGATTATTATAATCAGTTTATATATAAGTGTAGTAATTATTTTTGGATGCTTTTGTATATTCCTATTTGACAATGCCAACAACCCAAGTTAATTTATAAAAGTGTTCTCTATAGATATAATTGAAAATATTTCAATCGTTTATGGCTTAATAATATTTTTTAGGGAATAATGATAGAAAAATTTGTAAATATGTTTCTTTAAATAATTCTAATAAATTTGTATGTAAAAATTTTGAACCACTTTTTAATGGTTCAAGCCAAACCATTTTATGAACTAATATATGTTAGAGTTTGAAACTGTATATCAGTGGAATTGGTTAAAAAGATGGTATTGGTATATCTTTTTATATATAATTTTGAAAATGATTTGGATTAATAAAAATAACCTATGATCCAGGTTCAAAGCCCCAAATAACTAGAGTTGATAATTTATACTTCGTCCTTTATTAAAAAATTTAACATGCATCCACACTAAAATATACATATAATATAAAATTTGTTATTTGAATGTGTAGAAAAATAATTTCAAAAAATTTTGAAATGATTGTAGAGATTTAATTTAAGTAATTTTTTTAATAACTACATTTAAATGCATAATTAAAAAAAATTATTTAAGGAATCAAATAATATAATAGATAATGTTAATAAAGATAATAATATAAAGAATGAAAATATTTATATAAACAAAATTTCCACTATTACAATTGTCCCATTCATCACAAAAACAAAAAGATTTTTCATAGAATTTAGGTTTTTGTCTAACATATGGATCTCCAGGTCTGGATATTTTGTCGGAAGCTTTTCTGCAACCCCTGTATGTGTCTGCAGGAATTTCTTCTCTGTGAGAAGAACTATATATAACATCTAGACAAGCTCTTGTATATCTTGTTTGACCTTTGCAGCAGCAAAAAAAATTATAAAATAATTTGTTTTTTTTTTAAATAAAATTTATATAATAAAAATTGAAATAAGGAATCATCAAAAATATATTTCAAATCCTTATAAAACACCTTCTATTTTTTCAATAATTTTAACACATTTCTGCTTGTCAATCAGCCCATTACAAATTTGAGATTTACACATATCTTTGTCAAAGTCAACTCCACCTCCAGGATAAGGTGGACTTGTGCAAGTGTAACATGATATTGAATTTTTGCGAGTATTATATAAGTTTATTTTAGTACCTAAAATAAAATTGTAGCACATACTTGTACAGTTAATTTACCAAAAATAATAAAACAAATACATATTTTAGAGATCATTTTAGTAACTTTTTATTAGATGGCCCTTTACCGAAACCGCATGTCACGAGAATGATTATATTAGATATCTGATATGTCAGAAATCATTTTAAGGGTTGTATGAACTGAATAATAATAATTTTTCATTAACAATCTTAAATTAATTGGTATCAATACAAGATTTTAAAAATCCCATTTATAAGTCTCATAATACTATTATGACACTTAACAAAAAATGATCAAAGGATGGTTCAAATTTAATTGATTATTTTAAAATTCAAATTTGAATCTAACAGAAAAAGGTGGAGTTTTTTTAATGTTAATGATAACTATTGGAAAAGATATGCAATTATATTTTTTCATTACCCCATTCTAATCAATTTTGAAACGACTAGATTTGAGAATTGCTAATTTAATTTCGCCAGTAAATTATTGATCAAAACTTCAAGATTCCGATAATCAGAGTTGTTAAAGGATCGAATCAAAAGAGCGCCGATCCTGATTTCTATCCTAAATTTGTCAATTTTCCCGGATTTATGATCCTGACTTAAATTAAGGATCGTGATCTAGATTTTTTTAATATTCGATCCCGATCCTTTTAAAAATTACTTTTTTACTTAAAAAGCAATAAATAAAATTTTAGAAATTGTATTAAAATATTATTTTTTAAAAAATATCTATTAACATCATATTTTATCAACTTCCATTCCACCATATATTATATTTGGCTATTGTTACTTGCAACTATTGTTGCATTTAAAAAATTATAAAGATCAAATTAACATACTTCCGGTGGAAAATTTGAAGTGAGAACGGTAAATATTATTTTATTTTAATCATATTTATTTACAGATTATATGAACATTATAGTTACTCCTAAGACTTAAATTGTAAATTGTAACTGCCAATATGACCCTTCCATAATCAAAACTTACTTAATCGGGCATGGGCTTTTATCTGTCCCTTTTACTTCCCATGGGCGTTTAAGTGAGTGGCTTTGCCACTTACGCGCACAGGTAACTGCGGCCTGCCCAAAAATCGTGGATGGTCCTCTTAATTATTTTCGCATTTTTTATCCCAGTTTGATGGGTTTTTTCATAAGAGAACCAAGCGTTGCTCTGTTGTATATATAACTTTTGCTATATGTACGACGTTTAGGGCTAGTGCGCTTAATATCACGTATCATGTAAAAAATTATAAAAAAAGTAAAATTTTCATTTTTTAAAGAACGCATGTTGTTTTTTTTTACCATTAACAATATTTATTTATTTCAAAATAATTTTTTTTTTATTTATAAATAAATATATTTTTTTTCATAAATAAAAATTATTTTATTAAAAATTAGCTCTCCATTTTTTTTTATAATTAATTAACGTCAATATTTTTTTATTAAATTTTCTTTTTTAAGCTATAATTTCGAATAATAGATAACAGCAGAAGAATTCCATGAAAATGACCAAAAAACAACTCAAAACTTATCTTAATTCTTTTTATACTATAGGCATTACAATAAACTGGATAAATTGAGACTCTTCATAAGCAAATATTTTTATTAAGCTATAAATATGTTTTTTTCCTAATTAATTAAAATTTTCATGTTTAATCTAATTTTCACAATATATATTTAGTCTACACTAAAAATAGATAATAGCAGAAGAATTCCATGAAAATGACCAAATAAACAACTCAAAACTTAGATAAATAGATTATATCTTAATTCTTTTTATACTATAGGCATTACAATAAACTGGATAAATTGAGACTCTTCATAAGAATATTTTTATTAAACTATAAATTATAAATATGTTTTTTTTCTAATTAATTAAATTTTTCATCTTTAATCTAATTTTCACAATATATATATTTGGTCTACACTAAAAATAGATAACAGCAGAATAATTCCATGAAAATAACCAAAAAAACAAAATAGATTATATCTTAATTCTTTTTATACTATAGGCATTACAATAAACTGGATAAATTGAGACTCTTCATAAGCAAATATTTTTATTAAGCTATAAATTATAAATATGTTTTTTTCCTAATTAATTAAATTTTTCATGTTTAATCTAATTTTCACAATATATATTTAGTCTACACTAAAAATAGATAATAGCAGAAGAATTCCATGAAAATGACCAAAAAAACAACTCAAAACTTAGATAAATAGATTATATCTTAATTCTTTTTATACTATAAGCATTACAATAAACTGGATAAATTGAGACTCTTTAGCAAATATTTATTTCTTTTTCATAACATTTGTATTTTAAATATGATTACACTATTTAAATATATTATTATAATAAAAATAGATACAATTATAATAATTTTGAATGCAATTTGTGAAATGACAAGGTTTTAGGTAATTGTAATTGATCCTGTATGGGTAGTTCTATATTCTCTTTGGATAATTGTAGATTTTCTTTGGGTAGTTCTAGATTCTCTTTATATAATTGTAGATTTTCTTGATTCGTGATATCCTGCATTATAGAAAGATCGATTTCATTATCTATTTCTTTATTTAAAGCTTTTTTTTGTTAAAAATAGTGTACTGCATTTTTTTCTATTTTTTTTTTCAGGCATTTTTAAATTTTTAACTAACTAAGGAATTAGAAGATGATGGTAAACTATTAATATTCTCTTTGTTTTCCAATGTATTTATTCTTTTTTTGCTTTTAAGATATTCTAGGTTACATACCTTTTCACATGTTTCTTTTAATTCCTGAAAGCATATAATCATCAGGTCATTTGGTAGCTCCTTAATAAAGTTGCCAATATTATTTTGAAAATATTCTTGTGTCATTTTATATATTTCTATATCTGTTAATTCACATTTATTTTTAGTATTTTTTGTAATAATTTCTATATCAATATTATCATCGCTTTCCTCTTCATAATTTATACTATTTTCACTTAAATATGGGTATAAATTGTATTCCTTCCACCACCTTAAAGCACATAAGGAATCATCATAGAGGGAGATATTGTTATCTTCCCTGTATCTGAAAATATGTTTACAAGGTAAAAGATACCTCTGCTGGAAACCACAATTACATAAATTTTCACTAACATTGAAATCTTCATAAGTTATATTAAAAGAATATTTTATTTCAAGGTTGACTCTTTTAAAAGCTTTTAGAGTCAATAATTTGGAGGGCTTGATTCGATCATAGGAGGGACTAATACCATAAAAAATATTTGGCTTAAAAAAATATATTTTTTACCTGCAATAGTATCTATTTCACAATTTCCAGTAGGGTTTAATTCGATCATATTTGACTTTAATTAATTATAAAAAAAAATGGAGAGCTAATTTTTAATAAAATAATTTTTATTTATGAAAAAAAATATATTTATTTATAAATAAAAAGAAAATTATTTTGAAATAAATAAATATTATTAATGGTAAAAAAAACAACATGCGTTCTTTAAAAAATGAAAATTTTACTTTTTTTATAATTTTTTAAATGCAACAATAGTTGCAAGTAACAATAGCCATTATATTTCAACAATTTCATAAATTTTATCTAGAAGGAAATTTAAAGCCTACAAATTTTATTTATTATTTTTAATAATGTCCTCCTAAATAGATTTAAAAGATAATACATCCTCTATTGATGTATTATAAATTAATTATCATTTCTTAATATAAATTTCCTTCACTATATGATGATAGTAACATATTGGCAGCAATAATTCTCCCAAAAATTAAGCTAAATTGGCCATATATTAATCTGGCACAAAATCTGTTGGTAAAAGAAAGGTTAATTGCCCATTTGAAAAATATGCAGGATCAACCACATGCAGATGCTTCAAATGAATGTATGGATGAAAGATATTTTAGGAAAAAATTCATCACAAAATGCTCGTTCCATTAATAAATTTTTTTTATTCAAATGATAATTCAATGAATATTTTTAATATTTATGTTAATTTAAAAAATATTTATTGAATATAACACACCATTGCCAACAAGTGCTCCTGTGGAGCGCTTGTTTGGTAAAGCTAAACATGTGCTTAATGAAAGACTTTGATGTTTAAATGTTAATAACTTTGAAAAAATTTTATTATTAAAGGCTAATTTTAATTATAAATAAATATATTCTAATTGTTATACTTATATATATTATTCAATTACACTAATACCATACTTAATTTATTTTTATATTAGTTAATTTTGCATCGATCAGTAATTTCCTTCAGAAATTTAAATTATTTTTTAAAAAAGGTCGATCTTGGATTTCGATCTTCCTTTTTTTTTGAAAAGATTGTGATCGGGATTCGATCTTTTTAAATGGATTTAATAACAAGTCTGCAGATAATAAAAGCCAATATATTTCTAAGCCTTTTTGCCATTTATGAGCAAAATATTTAGTCATGCGTAATATATATGTAAAATATTGAAGGCTCAAATCGAGACGAATTCAAATGCCTCATAGAGCTCACTTTTTTGATGAAAACTTTGTGGATAAAAGAATATAATAGAGTTTATTTAGTTACGTTGGAGGCTGAATTGATATTCAATGAAAATCATGGCACAGCCCTTTGTGAAAATTAAATATAATTCCTAAAAAGAATTATTAAAAATGAGAAGAAAAAAAAATTGAGAAAAGATCAAATAAATATCAAATTTCAATATGCTAAATTAAATTTAAAAATGGCACTTAAAAGATCTTATGAATCTCTGAAAAGTAGCTCCAGACTAGAGGTGGGAGCGGGCCGTATTACGCGTGACCCATCGTGTCGTCACGGCGTGAGTGTAAATAAATTATAAATTATTAGGCGTGACTGGGCGTGACTGGGCGTGACGGGCTTTCCCAAAATTTTTCCCGGCCATGATCGGGTGTGAACATGAATTTCCCGTGAATCCCAGAAATTTTAATTTTTTCAAATTTATAATTATAATACATATTTTCTAATTTAATTTAATTCTTTTTTATAAAAGTAAAATTTTTTAAAACAAAAAATATTCGGGCATTTTATAAACAACATCTGGTTTCACGCTCCTAGTTCTATTTTCTTTTTATGTTTAGGTGTTTTGTCGCGTTTTTACTTAAACTTTAAAATTTA